TGTGACATGTAATGTTTCTTCTATATTTGGCCGTCAATTAACATGAAAAATTAACGGAAGGACCAAATTGGGGTAAAAGTGATAAATAGTAGGGACCAAATCAAAGATTTTTTAAGTTTAGGGATCAAATTTGGGATCTATATAATAGTTCAGGGACCAAAATAAAATTTTAACCTTTAATTTTTGGAGCTGCTGCAGCTACACAGTAGTGCTCTCGATCCACTCCACTTGTATGTCATAGTATTTGAATTTACAATCTCTATCTTTTAATTAAAGAAAATTAGTAATTAGGCATTTTTTTTTTTATCAATTTTTCCTACTTGAGTAAAAGGTGCAAAAATGGACCGAAGTAGCGTTAACGTGTTATTAGTAATTAACAAATTGTTTAAGAAAATAATTGATAATGTTTTTACTATTTTTAGTATAACTTTACATGTCATTTAAAAAATTAGTTTTCTTTATTTATTTGAGATTTATGATATTAAATATATTCACTTATTTCATGACACGTGAAAATTATATAAAATGGTGGTACAAAAAAGATTCTTCCTATATCATCTCCCAATTGTTTATTATGATTTATGAGGCCAATGGACCATATAGTTTTATGTCATATATGAGTAAACAGTGATGTAAAAATAAATTTTTATAATTTTTTATATAATTTATATATGTTATTTAAATAAATATATATTTAATATCATGAATTTTAAATTATTTATTTATTTAAATGAAAAATTGTGCGTGTTAAAGAAAAAAAAATCTTCTCATTTGGGAAACACTGGTAATTTGGAATTTAGAATTTCAATCAATGGTACTTTGTTGATATTCTTTCTTTGTTTTTCTAAGTTATTTAAAATTTTTTTAAATTCAATGCATATATTTAACCATAAAGGTAGACTAATCCATAAAAAATTAACCGCTAGACTAGAGTAATATGTCTTATATATGGCAAATTGCCTTCTTAATATTATTTCTGCTAGAAGATTTTCATTAAAAAAAATTCTTAGAACAACTTTTATATACGATTTTATTAATATTGATAATTTGTATATATTTATTTATTTAATAATATATAAAAATTATAAAAATAAATTGTACATATATCATTACTTTAAGAAATGCAGAGAAATCGCAACCAATGCAACACGGTAGAGGAACACAATGGACGATAGGGAAGGTTAAAAGGAAAGTGAAAGGATAGATAATTTTGTCTCATGAAGCTGATACATGAAAAAACAATTATAATTTTCAAAAAGATTATAATTAATGAAAACTAATCAATTATT